GGGCCATCATTACCCTTCCCCTTGTCCCCACAGGCCACCTCATTCTGCCCCAGGCCTTGACTCCACTGCCCCCTCATGAAGCTCTGTGGGCTGCGGCTGGCCCACTCCGCTCCTGTACCCCCTGCCTGGAGCAGCAGGGTCTGGCAGCACCTGTCACTGTCCACCAACTGGATGGGTACCCAGTTGTCACCCCTGGCTTCCAGGCTCCTGCTCTGTCGTCTTCCCCAAATCCTGCCAAGCCGGGACTGGCAGAGGCCCCAGGGAGTCGGGGTGAGCCCCCTGGACACCTACTCTGCTGGCCTGGGGGGACAGCGGCGCACTCCTGCAGGAAGCCAGGCTGTCCTTGTTTACCAGTGAAGGCAGCTCATCCGGGGACCTCCTGATGCGGGTCCCCATAGGAAACAGGGAATTCTAGGTTCACTGGCCCCAGGAAGGAGACGTGGGAACTAGAAAAGAGCAGGAGGTCCTAGGAGCAGGGTCCACAGGTGGCGTCCCCGCCCCGGCTCTCGGGCCTCACTGGTGCCATGTTGTGGAGGCACCACCATCACCATCCTGGGAGGGTGGTGATGGCGGGGTGTTAGGTGGTGCACGAGGCCCAGGCCCTGACTGGTTTGGAAGGGGAGCTTCTGCACCCAGGAAGAGCCCAGGGCCTCCTCTGAGCCGGGCTCCGGGCAGCTCCCATGTGCCTTTTCCTCAGAAGGAGGCCAGGGCAGGAGCGGAGTGGGGAGGATACCCAGCCCCTGAGGCAGCCGGTGGCCTGGGCACAGGAGGCGCTGGGCGCTCACTTCTTGCCAGTAATGCCTGGGGCTCCCCATGCTGGGGGTGTTGCGGGTGGACGCCCTGGTCAGGGGAGCCCAACCCAGAGGCCTGAGTCCACTCCAGTGCCAGGAGCCTGGGCTGGCCTCTGCCAGGCCTTTCCCCACACATGGTCCTGCAGACAGATGGGAGAGGGGCTCAGAGCACTCAGGGCAAGCTGAGAAGCCCACGTGTTCCAGACACTGGGGTGGCACCTGACATGTGGCCCTCCTTCTCCATAGTGCCCCCCACGTGGGGGCCTCCCTTGGTGCCTGAAGTTCCCTATACACCTGGCCTGGGCAATGCTCCTCTTTCCCTCTCCACACAGCCCAGTCCCGCCCTCCCTCCCTCCAGGCCTCAGCCTTCCCTGAGCATGCTGCCTCGAATGTCGGGGCCCCTCCTGAACCCACAGCACTCTCACCTACCTCTGTGACGTGGTGCCCCCCCATTAAACCCTGAGGCCTGGTCCTCTCCTCTCTCCAGTGTCCTTCGCAGCTCCTGCAGCTGCGCTCAGGGTGCACAAGACCCTCTGGGGCCGCTGCTGAGCAGGGGGGGGGGCCAGCAGGCTGTCCTGGGAAGCCAGGGCGAGCATCCGGCCCCCTCAACATTTTGGTAGGAAAATAAACACGTGCTCATGACGGTGAGGCTTTGAAGCTGCGGAGAGGAGGCTGGAGGCCACCTCTCGCCACCTCACTCCTTCACACTGGCCCGTCAGGCACTGCGCCTTCTCTGCCAACCCTGCTGGCCAGCCCTTGGCAGTGGCCTGGTGTTGGCCTGGACTGCTCAGACCCCAGGGCCCTCTCCCCGCCAGCAGCTGTCCTGGGGGCTCAGCTGTCAGCTAGACGGAGGGAAGGGGCCCGCAGCAGCCTGGTGCTCAGGGCGGCCTGGGGGGCGTCCTCTCCCCACCCTCCCAGGAAGGCCCTCTCCTAGGAAGGTGAGTAGCCTGGCGGCCAGCCAGGGATCTGTGCAGCTGCTGGGCCTGCTGAGAGGTGGCCTCCAGTCCCAGGTCCTCTGTACAATGGGACCATAAATGATCAACTTCCCCAGGCTCTTCAGAGCATAAGATAAGGTGACTCAGTGAGGGAGCCACAGTCACCAGCCCTAGGTGGTGGCACCTCCCCAGGTACAGGTGCTAGCGGGCCAGACAGGGGAGCCAAGACTGTTAGAGGGCCTTTCCCAGGTCCTCATCAGGCCCAGGGCCCACAGGCCCATAGTGGCATTCCCTCATGACAGTGGGCCAGATGTATGCCCCTCAAGGACCTTCTAACTCTGTCACCTGCAGGTGCTAGCCATCTTCACCCATCCCCCCAACTTCACTTCCGGCGCCTGTCCAGTAGTGCCACCCAGCATTGGGGATGCGGTGGGGTGGGGGTGGGGATCCTTTTAAAACCTAAAGTTAATTATTTTTCTAATTTCCAGCTGCATGCATTATGCATCAGCTGTTATGTTGGCGGTAATTGTAGACAGGTATGCAAATCTACTAGATAGGCGCAGCCCGTGCCCTAGCCCGCCTGGGCCATCGGGGTGGGGCCGGTGCCCAGAGGCGGGCTTCCTGGGCCTCAGAGAACACGGATGGCTTCAAAAAACCAGACTTTAACGTTGTGTCTTAGGAGGTTAATTATATTGATGACACTGTTCAATATTCAGCTCTTCGGGCCGGAAGGGGTAGTGGCGATGAAAGGAGACACGTGTAACTTTGTTTCTGCCTCAGCATCATTTAATCGGGCGCTCCCACCTGACGCTCGCCTGCCTACACTGAGACTCATCCCCCTGGGAAGCAGAAGGAAAGCCCAGTGGAGGGTCAGCGGGAGGAGAGTCGATGGGCATTTATTTTGTGGGGGGCTAGGTAGAAGGAAGGCAGGGCAGTGCCAAGACCAGGGTGGGGTGGCCAGAGGGTCTGTGTTGTTGGCTCCTCTGCCACCAGCAGGATCCTGGGCCACAGCAAGGGAACCACAGAAGCTCGTGGGCAGGAAACACCGCTGGTGACTAAGGCTTCCTGATCCGGAGTCAGAGGATCCCTGGAAGCTGAGGCCTCTCAGGAACCCTGGGTGTCCCTGACAGGCAGGACTACTGTCCTGCTCCTAACAGGACCCCCCTGTTTATTTACCACCAGTTTCTTTGTCCCCAGTGGATCGTCTGGCTCCTCCCTGGCATGAAGGGGCCCTGAAACATCCACTGAACCAATGATCGAGGCCCTAGCACCTAGAACCCGGGACTGACTGGGTAGAGCGGACGAAAGAGGGAGGCACCGTCCTCAGGTCTACAAGGGAAGTCACCGTGACCCTTGTCACAGCCACCCAGACAGGCAAAGGGCTTAGTCTAAATTGTGCAGTAGGCCACGAAGAACCCGGCACGAGCCTGGGCCTCCCTAGAATCACCACCCAGCACCTTCGCACCCACCTTCCCCTGGCTCGGCTCTGCAGGGAGCAAACCCATGAAGACCTGCTCACCACCCCAGGTGGCTGGCTACAGGGGCGTCTCAGGCTCCTGACCTGGGCCCACCTTCCCAGCTTGAAGGCCTCTTCCCCCTCCTGCCCACCCACAGATGCACACCATGGGGGACCCCAGCCCCAGGAGCGCGGAATCTGGGAGCAAAAAGGACTCAGCGGTAGTCTGTGTTCTACAGATGAGGAAAGACTGAGGCCCAGAGTGTGGGAGGGCCAGGCCCAGCACAGCCCTCCCCGGCGGCCACCTCCAGCCTTGGCAAGGGTAACAGGTGCCAAATCAAATCCTTTCCCAGGGGTTTGGCCCAGGAAGGGTGATGGTGGGCAGCGTCCCAACTCAAGATGGTCTCGTGGGGCTGTTTCCCACCTCGAGCAGGTCAGGAGACACCTTTTACCCTGTGGACTCAGGTGGGGTAGTGTTGGCAGTGTCCTTTCCCAGCTGGCCACTGCCCCTCAGGGTCTCAGTCCCTTAAGCACACAGGGGAGAAGGGACCTGCCTGAGGTCACACGGCTCACACCTGAAGGCCAGGGCCCAGCCCAAGTGTGTCCGGCCCCGCAACCCATTCTGGTCCTTTTTGTGCCTCTGCCGCTGGAGCAGGGAAGCCTCCGAGCCAGCCAGCAGCTTCACCATCAGTACTTGGGCAGCAGGCCTGGGGACAGCAGCTGCCCCCCGTCTGGCTCGGCCTCCCCAGCGGGAATTGCCCCGGAGAGGGTAGGGACCAGTGCTGGGCCGGCGGAAGGGATGTGATGTGGGCTGGGGAGTGGACGGGGGCAGGGGCGCGCTGGGGCTCACCGCCACGGCCCTACTGCCTGCCGGGCTGGCGCGCCTTCATAATAAATAACAGCAAATAGCCCATCCGCAGGGCATCCTTCACGCCGGTGGCTAATAACACGGCTATTAATGCCCCCGCAGCCGGCGTGCGCCGCGCCGCGCTGACGGATGTCCCAGGCCCTGGCGCAGTCATAAATCAGCCCCTCTCCTGGGGCAGAGCGCAGGGAAGTGTCATTTTCCATCTTGGTAATGAATTGGGGCTTCCCTGCCCTGCCCAGGGCGCCGCTGCTTGAGGTTGCCTGGGATGTGTGTTTGTGGAGGCGTGGCCGCCCTCCCTCCTGCCTCTGGGAGCCAGAGGAGCAGGCCCCGCCCAGGGAAGCAGGCCCCGCCCAGGGGAGCAGGCCCCGCCCAGGGGGAGCAGGCCCCGCCCAGGCCACTTCAGATCTAAAGAGGGAGCGCTCAGAACCTTCTGTGTGACCCTGGGGCACTCACTGCTTGTCTCTGGGCCTCAGCTTGCTCCTCTCACCAACCAAGGGCCAGCACTGGAAGTCAGAGCAGATGATGTCCGGCCAATAGAAGCCGGGCGACAGCTTTGGATGGGTCCACCCTGGGTCTGTCCAGTCAGAGCAGGGGCAGGCCCAGAGGGACAGGTCTTGTGGCCATCCTCCAGTTCAAGGGTAACAGGTGCCAAGGCAGTGGCCTTGGTCCCCAAAGCTCCTTCCCTAACCCACGACAAGGCCTCCCTGCGATGAGGTAGCACATCTTTCCTGCCTGAGCAAGCAGAAGCCCCATGTTTTGTAAAATTGTGGCAGGCGCAACGGAGCCCCAGACCCGGGTGCTCTGCTGAGATGCCCTGTGTGACCTGGTCAGGACGGGGGCCTTTAGAGGAGGGGGCCCAGCTGTCTTGTGCCCTCTCTAGGCATGAGGAACCCTTGGGCACCTCTGAGGGCCATCCTGGGCCCTTCCACCTCCACCTCCCTCCGTCTTACCTCCTTCACGGCTGTCACTGGAGCCTGTGGTACGACTGGGGTCTTGCTCCAGGGGCTCCTGAGGGCTGGGCAGCGGGCTGCTCTCACATTCCTGCCCCAGGGCCCCGACAGGCCAAGCCCGCTCTGGTTATAGCCTGCAGACCTGGGTGGTGGGCAGTGCTGCTGCGGCACGTGGGGACGCGGAGAGGGACCCTGTGCCTCTGACTTCCGGGCTCCCCTGCCCAGTTCAGGCAAGGCTGCAGGTCCCAGGCAGCATCCTTGTGGTCCTCGACCTGGGGCGCCGCTGGCTCCTCCTGCAGCAAGGGTCGTGCACTCGGAGTGCACAGGGGCAGCCCCGCGGCCTGGGGGGCTCCCGGGCGGGGCCTGCGGGCGTTCTGACCTCCTGCTCCTGGGGCATGCCCTACCGACCGGTGCCCATCCGGGGAGCAGCCTGGCTGCCTGTCACTTCCATCACTTCCACGGCCCTCTTTCAACTTTTGCCCTTTGTCTGCAGGCGGCCACCTCCTCTGAAAGGCGGCTGCGTGGCTTTTACCCCCTTTTTCTTTACCACATTTTTTTTTTCTTTTTTAAATCCCTTTAAGTCACTTGGCAGAATGGGTTGGTGCAGAGAGCGTTCTTGCGTGACAGAGCTGAGAGGAAGCCGCTCTCCAAAGAATCGGGATTCCTGCCACTCAGGCTGGCCTCCAGGGAGGGAGGGGCCGCCCCCCCACCGAGGAGTTCAGACGTTCACGGCCTGAGCCGCTGACTGGGCCCCTGAGCTGTCAGGCCCCACGGGCCCTGCTTGGAAAGATGCTTTGGGCTGCAGGGGGCTCGGTCTCGCTTGGCTGCCCCTGTTTGTGGAGAAGCTTCTCTTGCTTGGGGGGGGCTATTCCAGCTTCACTCCCTGGTCTTGTCTTCCAAAGAAGAGTCCTTCTCACCGACTCCCTGCCTCCTCACCTGCCAAAAACAACACAAGCCATCAGGCCCAAGGAGGCGAGGCCCGGCGGTACCACTTGCAGGGTGGGGGCAGCCTGGGCTGCAGACCCAGGGCCTGGCACAGTCCAGGCAAATAATTTCCCTCTGAGCAACACCCCCAGCCCAGAGCCTGTTTTCTTGAATGTCACTTCCCTAGGAGCCAGGGACCTACTGGGATCACTGTTCCGCATCTCCCATCTCTTTCCAAACCAAGATAAGGCCCAGGGCCCTTCCTTAGAGCTACCTGGTTTCCTTTTCCCTGGGGCAGAAGGAATGGGAAGAGCAGGGCCACCCGCCCAGCCCAGGGCTGGCTGTTTCCCCAGCACCTGCCCCTCTTGGTAAATGTCATTCAAAGGCTCCAACTGGACCACTACAGCCCAGGCTTCCAGAACAAGCTGCTTTTCCGACTGGGAAGTAGGATCACCGGGGATCTGGGAAGTAGGTCTTGGTGTCCCTGGCTGCTGGTGTCAGGCCACCCCATCTCTTAGGTGGGGTCAGTCCTGCACAATTCCACTGCTCTGCCCTTTTGCAGAGACCCAGGGTCAGGACAGGCTGTTCTTGGGAATCCTAAAACAAAACCAGAGCCCCCCACGCCACTCCTCATTAGCGTGGCGTGTGAAAGGCCTGGGCCTCAGTGTCCAGTTCCCCCCGGGGCCCCCCGCTTTGGAAAAGGGCTTTCATGACACATCTGAGAGCAGAAGCGCTGGTTTAAATCAGATCCAGAGGGGCTCAGCTGCCTCTGGGGGCTTTTCTTTTTGGGGCCAGAGGTGGCTGATTTGAGAAATGCTCATTGTCTAGGGTCGATTACAAACAAAAACCAGGCACCCAGGCACCATACCCCAGGTGGCTGCTCATGAGTACACCGCCGGCCGGGAACACGGGGCACGAACGCGTGTCAGGGCGAGGGGGCTGCCAAGGTAAGGCGGGGCTTCTGGAGACAGGTGGCAGGAGGCCTGAGGCCAGCAGGCTTTGTGGGGGGAATCCTGAGTGGCCAGGCCTGGCCAGCACTGCAGGTGAGGTGGGCAGGTGGCCGGGGCCCCAGGGAGGGCAGGAGACTGCAGTACGAGCTCTCATGCTGTCCCCACCGGTGCGATTCATCCAATTATAAATTGTAATTTCTCTGGGAAAGCGAGAGGTGGAAAGAGTCCAATGAGGTCACCTGCCTCCTTGGCCAGGCCAGGAAATTGTTTTGTCGCTGGGGTGGGGGTGGGGCGACTGGGCCTTAGTACGTGCAGATGGAGTCCTGGGAGCCCAGAAACTCCAGCCGCCTCCCCACGACAGACACAAACCACCCTCTGCCTTTGAGATGGCAAATCCAGGAAGGAGGCGGCTCAGGTATGTTCCCCCTTAGCGCCACCCAGGGCTCTGGGGACAGGCACACTGGGAAGTCCTCCAGGGCCTCCCAGGGCCTGGCCCTGCACAGCCCACCCGTGGACATCTCCTAACACAGGCCCATCCCTTTGCTGCTCCCCTCCCATGAGCATCCTCTCAAAGGTCACCCTCCCTCCCTCCCTCCCTGCGATATCGCCACCTTCCCTCTCCAGGCACGTGGCCCCACTAAGCATGATTGCAGTGACATAGCACAGGAAGTGAGCTCCCTGGCTTCAAGGGAGGATGTAAGACTGGATCTTCCAGCACCTGGCTCCGTACCGTGCACACAGAAGGTGCTTAATAAGTGCACCCAGCAAACTCTCATTCTGCTTCCTCATTTCGAAAACCAAGGGTCTGAGCCAGGCTCTGGGTGGGCCTGTCCAGCTTTGCACACCCTGGTCAGCCTTCCCTGCTGGCCCCCCACCCATCCCCCGCATCCTGCCAAGCCTCCTGGTAACCCTGGTGTGCAGATACTGGGCTCCTGGAGGTCCCCACCATGGGTGAGTGGGGCCACGTGGGCGTGGGAGGTGCATGGGCTTTCCAAGTGAGCCTGGCTGGCAGTGGTTGGGAAGCATGAGCTCTGGGCAGCGCTGTGGCTCTCCCCACGTGTGGCGGCATAATGACGATCATCAGTGGCCACCTGCATTCACTGAACCAATGCGGCCCAGGAATACATATGTAAATGTGTCTGCCTGGCAGACGCCTCCGCCAGAGCCCCAGCACCCACAGCTTACTGGGTTGGTAAAGCCACAGCGGCAAAGCTCACGGCTCTGGGCAGACTTGCCGCATGATCAGTTGGGTCAGCCAAGGACAAAAGGACCCATGGGGTCCCAAGGGATCAGGAATGGGGGCCTCTTTAGACTCTGGAGAGGTGACAGCTCTGTGGAGCCCCTCTTACCTGGGCCTTCTCTGTTCCCACAGGCTCCAGGTCTCTGCACCAAAAAACACCCCCCCTCTTTTTCTGACATGCTTACACAATTTTATTTTGTTACTAACAACAACATCACAGTTGCATTAAAAGAAATTTGAAAGGAAAGAGCAAACTGGGCCAGGTGGCACATGCCTATGATCCCAGTGGCTTGGGAGGCTGAGGCAGGAGGATCCTGAGTTCAAAGCCAGCCTCAGCCAGTTAGCATGGCCCTAAGCAACTCACGAGACCCTGTCTAAATAAAATACAAATAAAAGCTGGGGATGTGGCTCAGTGGCTAAGCCCTGCTGGGTTCAAAAAAAAAGAAGAAGAAGAAGAAGAAGGAAAGAAGCCAGCCAAGCCCCCAGTCCCGCAGATCTGCACCTCGTTTTGCATTTTGGCCAGATCTGCCCGTCCATTCCCCACAGGGAAACGTGCACCTTACCCTGTTCCAGTAATTTCTGCTTTGCTATCTCCTCTGAGCCTGGGACAGCCCAACACAGCTGGCAGAATAGGGAGGACCACCTCATGGTGCAGGCTGACAAGGTGGAAAGGGACATGTCCCAGATTATACAACCTTGACCTGCAGAAAAGCTGGTGCTCCAGACTCCCAGAGCAGCCCCTCCCCCTGCAGCTCCAGGCCCAGGCGACAGAGCTAACGGCACCGAGGCCCCCCAGGCAGCCCCCAGCCCTGCCTCCCTCCGTTCTTCTGTCCATCCACCCGTCCATCCAGCTCTCCACCCACTTAGCAATAATAGGCTGAGTCCAGTCATGCTCCAGGCACTGTACAAGACACTGGGGATCCCGAGAGGAGCCCCTGTACTCCAGGAGGCTGCAGCCTCACGGGAAAGCCCCCACTTGCAGGAGTCTGGCCTGAGACACACAAGGGCGCCACCTTGCCCAGCCTGTGGGGGACGTCCCAGGAGACGTCCTGGGGAAGACGTTGCTGTGGTCTGGGGTCCTCAGACTCACATGAGCTCAGTGGCAATGCAAAGTGGGACAGACATGGCCCCAGGTGTCCCTCTTGGCCACCCGTCCTCCTTCCAGAGCTGTGCCCACCTTTGGCGGCCAGGGCTTCCCTCCAGAGTGGAGACGGTCTTCAGCTTTACAGTTCCTGGCTGCCTCCAGCAAGGCCGCTCCCTGATACCAGTCCTAGATTAGCAATTAGCCCTCCTGTTTGGTTTCCACCTATAGCTCTTGGGGACAGATTTATCTGTGCATGTCATTAATCAGATGCCTGGGATGTGCCGCTGGATGCCCAGAGGGGCTTTGTGGCGGGTGACCTAGCAGAGCGGCATTTGAAGTGATCAAGGTGTCAGCCCCTCCCTGGGCAGAGCTGCCCCGAGTTGAAGGGGGCAGAGTTTAGATCCTCGTCGGCAGGTCGCTGCGGGAGCGAGCCGAGAGACCCGGTGCGCTTTCATTTGGACTTCCAGGCTGAGGTCAGCATCCGAATCTGACCTTTATAGATGAAAAGGCCCTTTGTGATCAGACCCGGAGTTTGTTCCGTGGCTGCTGACTCCCCCCGCCAGGACAGCCAGCCACAGGGCCTGTTCTTTCCGCCCCATCACCGAGAGTGGTTGCTCCTCCCTAATGCCAGTGCCCCCGGTCATGCTCCTGTCCCCGGAGGGCAGCAGGGGCAGAGGGCTGGGGCTGGGGCCGCACGCCAGGGAAGGCTTTTGCATTCGGGACTGGGATGGCTCCTGGAACGAGGTCAGCGTGATGGGAAATGATGGGAAGAGTATTTCAGGCCAAGGGAACAGCGTGTGCAAAGCGGGGCGGGGTACGTTGGGCAGGCGGACGGACCCAGAGCCAAATCACTGAGCTGAAGTGGGAGAGGGGAGCCTGGTCTTGGGGGAGCTTTGCAGGCGGTGCTGAGGGGCCTGGTTTTCATACTGAGGGGAGTGGGGAGCCTCCAAGGGTGCCCAGGCAGGGCTGAACTGTCTCCTCTTGAGTGACTTGGGAGCTTCTGTGGTTCTCCCTGAAGACAGGCCTGCGGGCCAAGTGGACCCCATCCTTTTCACTGGAGGGCAATTGAGTGCCTCTGGGAGCATTGTGGAGAGTTGGCCGGCTGTGGGGCTCCCAGCCTGGCCCTGAGCTGTGGCCCACAGTCCCTGGGCAGCTGGAGCAGGTCATGGGCTTGGAGCAGCGGCAGGCAGCAGGAGGCTCCTGTGAGCCGAGTCTCCCTGCCCCCTCCATCCCTGGCCCCGGGGCCTGGCTGGGCAGCTCTGAGGGGCGGAGGCAAGAGGCTGCTTAGGCGGTGTGAACCTCCACTCTGCTAATTAGACAGTTTCCTGACGACACCCAGACTTCCAAGGACAGTGGGCGATGGGCATGCGGACGAGTGTGGCAGCTGGCCGTGGGTGGCCGTGGGTGGCCGTGGGAGCCCACACTGCCCAGCCAGCAGCCTGGACCCTTGCCAGCGCCCGCCCTCAGAGACAGATGCTGGGGAAATGGGCGATGGGGCAGGGCTCAGCGCAGATGAGAGTTCTGGGGCCCCTAGGCCTCTCCTGGGCCATGGTCGCTCTGAAGGACATGACACGGGACTTCGGCCACTGAATGGACCTTCCTGTCTCCCTCCTTTTCCTTCCTTGGTCCCTCCTTCCCTTCTTGGCCTGGGACTTCACTCCTGTCCCCTAGTGCTGGGCCAGGTCACATGGGGATGGACGGTAGGCGGCCACTTGCCAGCTTCCCATCCCATGGGGCC